AAAAGTGGACCTTATTAAAATAAGATGAGATGCTCCATATGGGGGAAATGAGCAGCAACATTAGGCCTTGACATATAGTTGTTGAACTATTGAGTAAAAGTGGACCTTATTAAAATAAGATGAGATGCTCCATATGGGGGAAATGAGCAGCAACATTAGGCCTTGACATATAGTTGTTGAACTATTGAGTAAAAGTGGACCTTATTAAAATAAGATGAGATGCTCCATATGGGGGAAATGAGCAGCAACATTAGGCCTTGACATATAGTTGTTGAACTATTGAGTAAAAGTGGACCTTATTAAAATAAGATGAGATGCTCCATATGGGGGAAATGAGTGGAAGTGTAAAAGAAATACTGTTGATATTCAAAGCTTTGAGGACACTATGACAATAGATGGACTATTAAATCCATCTTTCAATTTCTAATCTTCCATCTATTTTTTACTTTTATAATATGTATATTTTTTATTTCTACTTCTATTCTTACTTTTAATCAGGCCCCCATTATATGGGAATGAAAATGGTAAATGAGCACCTGTCTACCCTAGACGAATTCAAATCACTAGGACTGGATGGATTACACCCACGGTTCTGAAGGAACTGGTAGACGAGATCTCAGAACCACTGAACTATATATCTTTCAGAGATCCTGGAGCACTGGGAAACTGTCAGAGGACTGGAAAAGAGCTGATGTGGTTCCCATCTTCAAAAAAGGAAAAAAAATAGATGGAACGTTGGTCCCACCTGAACGTTCTTCTCAGCATGGCTCAGGACGGTCCAGGAGTGGGTTGTTCAATCCTTATTTGCCCAAGAGACTGAGTCAGAATTGAAGCCACACCTCCAGCTTCCCCTGCTGACTTCCAATTCCAATGAGGTGCAGCTCCAACTAGAGAAACAAAAGAAGAGCAGGCTTTGCCCACAGCATTAATAGCCCCGGGGACACGGACATAACCAAACAACAAACTAGGGTGGGACCTGGACCGTCCTGCACCACACTAAGAAGAACGTTCAGGTAGGACCAATGTTCCTTCTTCAGCTGATGGCGCAGGAGGGTCCAGGAGTAGGACATACCAAAGCGGCAGTCCCTAGGGCGGGAACTCACTGGTCCGTGGCACCCGAGGGAGCATATACTCCCCGCAGCACCCAATGACTAAATGATGCCTCGGCAGATGCAAAAGCATCCAATTTATAATGCTTAATAAAAGGTGAAGGGGAAACCCAGGTCGCAGCTCTGCAAATATCCTCAATAGGAGCCCGAGTGTTCCCCGCGGCCGTAGTGGCCGCACTCCTAGTTGAATGAGCCATTATCCCCTGCGGTACTGGCTTACCTCTCACCTCATAGGCCTGGGCAATACAAGCCCGCAACCACCGCCTAATGGTAGAGGGGGGACACCCGTGACCCAATGGCAGAAGGCTGGAAAGAAACAAATAACGCCTCTGTCTTCCTGGAGGGCGCCGTTCTCTTTATGTAAATACGGAAAGCTCTCCGCTCGTCCAGCTTGTGCCACGTTTTCTCCTTTCTATGAGTGGGGTTAGGGTAAAAATCCGGGAGAATTAACTCCTGAACCCTATGAAAATAGGAATTTTTTTGGGGGGGGGGGGATAAAAGCGGGATCAAGTCTCAGCACGACCGTGTTAGGCTGGAAAATACAAAGGTCCTCCCTGACAGAGAGAGCACCAGCTCTGAGATCCTCCTAGCCGATGTGATGGCGACCAAGAAGACCACCTTTGGAGTAAGGAGCTGCAAGGAAATGGTCCTCAGTGGTTCAAAGGGGGAATCCACTAGAGTCAAGGGGATCATAATCTACTACTAGAGATTGTGGGTTAGACAGCATTACCACGTGATGGATTTGTAACCAGATGACCAACTGCACTCAACCTGTAGTCNCTTATTTAACATAGTTACCTAAATTGTCAGGAAACGTGATGTCCTATGACAAAATGGAGGTAATTTTCTGATTCAGCGCACCAAAAAACATAAAGCTTACGTGGAATAACCAAAACAGCTCTTACATTTTTTTTTGCAGACCTCTGTTTTCTTTATGTATATTTTATATAACTTATAATGTACTTTTATGTATATTCCAGATTGTGCCAGGTGAAATAATTTCTCTTAAGATTTTTTTTTGTGGCTTGGAATAAACTGAAATCTCATTCGAAATTCTCTATAGTATTTTTTAAATACTATTTTTGAAAACGTGCAACAGACCATTACCATTTTATGTTTTCCCTAAAGTAGTGGGGGTTCTTTTGTTAATTCTCTTTTAAAGTTCCTGTTTTGATTGGAATAGGTCTTCATTTATCTGGTACAAAGAGTATTTTAATATATAGGATTACCTGATAATTACAAGAAAGACAGCACAAGTTCTGAGAGCCCTATCTCTCACATCGTTGTTAGGGGATAGACGCCATGAGAGGAGACCCTTGGCAAGAATGACCAAACCAGTATATCAAAGTTCAACTGGATCCAGTATATAAAGACCCAAAAGGCAGAATACCAGCCTGGGATAGCAAACAACCCATTTTTTAAAACTTACATTTTATTAATACTATCATTTATTTTAATTCTCATGAAAATCGTGGCAAACACATTCTCTAAATACTTTTTGTGAAGTAGGATAGCTCACATTTCTTCAGAATCTGAATGTTCTTTAATTGGTACATCTTCCACATCATCAATTTCAAGGTTCTGTTGATTTTGGATATCTGCAACACTGGGAACATCAACTAAAGTTCTATATAATTTTGAAAGATCTGGAAGGGAACATGTCCTCAGCAACTGAAATAAAGTGCATTACATGAATAGATTAAATAAAAAAGCAAAGGTTATATGACGATAACATAGTATCTTAATCAAAATATAAATATAAAATATTGTAACAAAATAAATTTATCTTTATTTTTAACTCAAAGAATGAAGCAACTATATTGTTTGGCAATGGGAAGAAGTTATAGGTTGTTAACAGAATAGGTTAAACTATGTTAGTTTTCATGACCAAACTGAATTGTTCTCATTATGTAATAGGAGTTTATAACAATATATAATGTGATAAACTGTTTATCATGTCACAAACATTATAACTTTTTCACAACTTTTAAATTCTTAAATAAAATTTCTATTTTAAATATAAAAGCCCAGAATGCCATCTGTTTCCAACATTACAAAATGTCTCCTTTTTTATATGAAAACTTTTGTTTGTAATTCTTGTATTGTACAGCAGTGGCGCCAACCTTTTGGCACCAGGGACCGGTTTCGTGGAAGACTAAGACCGGGGGAAGGAGGAATGGTTTTGATTTTATCCCTCACCCGTAGATCACCTCCAGCTATACAGCCTGGTTCCTAATAGTCCACAGACCGGTACCGATCTGTGTCCCAGGAGTTGGGAATGCCTGCTATACAGGTCAGATATCATAATTTTATAATCATTAAAAGAAATGCTATATCTACTACCAAATAAATCCATACATGTGCATGCAAAACCCAACATTTTATATTAGCTTATGTTGCTTAATCAGTTCATAAAATAATATGTGTTTGCTTTCAATAATAGGATTTAGACTGTGGAAGATATTAAAGATTTTTAACACTTGCCTTTGGGTTGTTTGCATCAAACAGACCTGTAGAAAGTCCTACCAACACTGAATTTTTGCCTTTTGTTTTCTCTGGCGATACAGAGCGTGATCTTGTTGGAAGAGAATCTTCAAAGGAAGACTGTGTTGAAAGAACTGGAAAAGCTACTAGTCTTGCTTGGTGCTCCTGGACCTTCTGAAAAAAGGGTTCAGGCAGTGCAGGGCTGTTGGTCTCTGGTATGATAAAGACCAAATTATTTTAAAAATACATATACAATAGTAACAAATCAAGGGCTCCAATTAAGTAAAAGAATGACATGATTCAGACATCTGAAGGAATTGTATATTTAGTAAGCATTTCAGAATTAAAATATGAATACTATACATTGTTATTAAAACAATGCGTTAGGATTCCCTCCTATCTGAAATAATCAGTTTTTTTCAAGTTGTCAGTTAACTTCAGTAATTTTAGGTTCAAGTCATTAAATTTTATCTACCTAATGAATGTTAAGAAATCCTGTCAATCAAATTTAGTTCTTTTTAATTCTTGACTGTTTCTACTGCAACACTGTTGAAAAAAGCATTGCTGCTCAGCTCAAGAGAAATAATTATCAGTCCCAGTTTTTGGGCTTATTTCATCTGACAGTTGTACAAACGAACAAAAGGAGGTAAACTTGAGTCTAAAAGACTGTTCAATTGGATTCTTCCTCTCCTTGTTCTCAGGATTACTATTATCAACTATCCTGTGTAAAAGATTCCAGACTTAATTTATATAACATTTGTTGCATTTTTCTTTATAATTTCTAATAGTGCTTCCAGTACTTAAGACATACTTCTTACAAACACCTCTTTTAATAATTTAAAGATATCTTATCAAAGTCTTAATACAATATTTTCATTGTATCTACAATAGTTAGCTTTTCTAGAATTATTTTTAAAATTTGTGCTTAATTCATAATTCAGTGAAATTAAACAGTAAAAAATAACTGTCCTCCACATCGCCATAGACTATGAAAACCTATGTGTGAGAAAAGTGGAGATTTTTCAGCAGGATAAATGGCAAAAGGAAAAGAGTTCTTTCATTCATCACATGATTTCTTTTCTGTGTCTCTTTTCTGCATTTTTTTCTTACTAAATCCTGGTATTGATCAGAAAGAAAGAGATATAAAGACAAAATTCAGGTGACAGTTCTGTTCCTTAAGAACATTGGGATCACAAGGTTTATTTTCAGACAGGTTTCCTATTACACTGAATAACATAGAAAAAATTATGTGGGGGAGGCTGGCTCTAACTAGCATTCTGAAAAGCCTTTAAACAGGGTTAACTAGGCATGTGGGTCAGATGATTGTTAAACATGCAAATGTTTTCTCATCCGTCATTGTATTATTATGATTGTTTTATCATGTTCCTAATGTTGTTAGCTGACTAGATTTGTTGTAAATGTTTATGTTTATTATTATAATTGGTAAATGGCTTGCCATATAAATGTACTTAAATAAATAAATATCTAGGCACATCCAATCCAGTCCCATTTTACTTTTAAAGACCTACAGATGTTAATTAGTTTATGTAATGATGTCTTATGGCCGACCATATTCCCTTCCAGAAGGAACAATTTAAAAGTGAGGGGTCTTTGGTGCTCTTTGAGCTTTGTTGTTTTATTGCAGATATTTCATCATTAGTGCTATACACCCTCATTTCAATCATGAGCTACAAATATTCTCCTTTATTGGTATTTTAGCAATAGCAATAGCAGTAGACTTATATACCGCTTCATAGGCCTTTCAGGCCTCTCTAAGCGGTTTACAGAGAGTCAGCATATTGCCCCCAACAATCTGGGTCCTCATTTTACCCACCTCGGAAGGATGGAAGGCTGAGTCAACCCTGAGCCGGTGAGATTTGAACCGCTGACCTGCTGATCTAGCAGTAGCCTGCAGTGCTGCATTTAACCACTGCGCCACCTTGGCTTTAAATGTGACTTGTGTGTGTGCATGCATGTGTGTTATGTATGTGCCTACATATCAATCTATCAGTCAGCAGGAAGCTCACAAGCTGCAAAATACATTATAATTTATTAAATTTATTTGTGGGGACTCTGACAGCTTACAATATAAAACAATATTATAAAACAGTAAACAATAGATATAGCATTAGAATTATCAGAGAATTCTTTAAATTAACTAAGATGAGGAAATCTTCAAATGTCTTTATTTCTAGGAATGTACTTGTGTATTAAATAAATCCATAAATGTTCCTAAAGATAAAAATGTTACATGACTACTGCCCAATGTTCACCAGCCCTCTAATAAGGTAAATAGGGATCATCAATATATTCTTAGTGCTTTTGTGACTACATCTGTCCCAACATGCCAGCTATATGTGGGGAATTCTCTAACATACCCACAAATGATCTGAAATTTTCAAATGCACCAATCAGTCTAAACATGTGAGGGAATTTTGCTTTAAACAATTGCAGATGCTGACCTACTGATGGTTCATCAAGGATTGGTATTTTTTTATGATTTCCATCTTCTATAGCAAGATCTTTGTTGTCGTCGGAGTGACAATTATCAGTATGAATTTCTGACCTGTGGGAGCATCGTAACCAGGAAAAAAAGCAAATAGTTTATTATTAGTTTGTCAAAAATTGATTTTCAAATGGAGTCAATATAAAATATGGGGACTTACATTGTTTCCTTTTCTTTTCCTTCATTAACCCATACTTCAGCAACAGGAAATATATCTGTTTGACATTTGTTTCTTTGGGTTTCTTCTAGCAATTCTTCTTCCAAACCATCTGATTCTATGGGGAAAAGTTTTAGCTTTTCTGAAGACGTTTACATATAGCAAATTTAGCAGAACAACATGAATTATTTTGAAATATTATGCATGAATATCATTTAAAAATCTTTAACAGCACTCAAAAATAGCAATAGCAAGATATAACCAGTAAAGTCATATTTTAAAATGCCATGTGAAATGTTATTAAATACTTCTCTGTGTTATTTTTACATGTTTCAGTTATGGCTGATTGAATTATTTAACTACATATAGTCCTGAACTTATGACTAGTTGCTTAGCAACCATTCAAATTCACAACAGACCTCTCAGGGCTATTTATGATCCAGTTCCAAAGTCCCAGTAGCCTCCACCCACAGTCAAATGATCGTATTGTGGGTGCTTAGCACATTTACGGCTGTTTGCAGTGTCATGGAATCACATGACGGTGATTTACAATGTTTTTGCCAGTTAGTTCCTATTTTGGGCAAAAATGCCCCACAGCAAATGACTGTCACATTCTCTTAGCAACCGCCACAAAACAGATAGTGAAATTGAGTTGGTCACTGGGCGACCCACTTTATGACCATCACAGGGAATGCTCTGTTACAGTCATAAGTTGAGGACTACCTGTAACAGCATTTGTCAATTATTTCAATGCACTGACATCCTGGGCAGTTTACAATAAGAACAATAGAAACAAGACAGAAGTAAAGAATAAAAATATAAGAAATAAATACAATTATTACGCTCTTGTACAATCAGTCAGGACCAAAAGTATGCTGGAATAAAACAGTTATATGGATTGCAAGGTTTCATATATGTAACCAATTCTTGTCAAGCTTCTTTAAGGTATTTTTCTTGCTTGATTAGAATAATACATTTAAATATAGTTGAATTGAGAATTGGCAAGACATACCTTCTGTCAGAATAGGTTCAGATGATAACTGGCCTAAGTCAGATCCATGAAGGCTTGCTATTGCCAAATTTTCACTATTATCAGCTTCAATGGATGATTTTCCTTCAACAGAAGTTACTGCTCTAGTATCATCGCTCTTTCCTGCTGTTAAAGTTGTCTTTGACACTTCTACAGAAAAACGTTATCATTTGAAACATACTTCTTACTGAATTCCTTTCAGCAAACATGAGATATAGCATTCAGCACTCAGAAACTGCATTTTTAATCTATGTTATTTTAAAACTGTACTGCAATTGTACAGAAATCCAGATATTGGGACTTCCGGCTGATGTCAAGGCAATATTGGATGTGAGGTGCGGGCTCCATGTTCCCATGCCGAGTTCTCCACATTAGAAGGCTCCAAAAGGAACTAAAGCCAAGAGGGGCACCCTGCAGGTCGTGTAGAGTCACAATCACCCCTGCTTGTTCCAGGGGTCCCCCCTCCTCTCCTTCATGAGGAGGAGAAGAGGCAGCCAAAAATGGCTGCCAGGAAGCTGGGACAGCCGAGGCAACAAAGAAAGCGCAGGAGCAGTGGAAATGAACAGTAATTGGAACTGGGTAAGATGATTCTTTTTTTAAAAATCTAATCTTAAAAACAAAAGAGAGAAAAAAATCCAAAAGAGACTCTTAACTGTTTATTGAAGTGGTGAATAATCACACAGAGAAAAACTACAGACCCGAAAGAAAAGAAGAGAGGAAAAGTTAAAAATTTCAAAATACAGAAAATTGGATGGCTAAATTGGGTAGGCGTTATTTTGAAAGGTATTTCAAAATGCTGGTTCTATCTACTGTAATAATTGACTTTGCTCTTATAAATCAAATTTAAATTGGATAATACAAAATTAGTGCAACAAATTAAAAAAGGTCTAGAATTATGTTGGAAGCTACAACTATCATTATTAGGGAAAATAGCAGCGATAAAATGAATGTATTACCGAGACTTCTTTACTTATTTCAACCAATTCCTATAAAATTAGAGAAAAACTTTTTTATTGAACTGAATAAGATTATATTAAAATTCATATGGCAAGGGAAGAAAGCTAGGATAAAACTGAAAGTTACAGGATGACAGAAGCAGAGGTGGTATGGGACTCCCTGACTGGGAGCTTTATTATAAAGCAGCAGTGTTAACATGGATCAGGGATTGGATTAATTTAAAAAATACAAGAGTATCAACACTGGGGGGGCACAATTTGCAAATGGGATGCATTTCTTCTTATGGGAAGAGGGAAAAAGCAAAAATATTTTCATAGACACTATATTAGAGATGCACTGATACAGGTCTGGAATAAAATTATGGAAAAACACTACATGAAAATAGCAACATGGCTTTCAACTATGGAAGCATGCATCCTAATACACTAGCTCTATCTAAAATGATTAGATACAGAGAAATTTTAGACATTCAGAGGAATCTGAAAACAAATCGGGAATTAAAGGAGCAAAATATAAATATAAATTGTGGCCATATCTTCAATTACAATCGAGGTACAAAAAGAATGTAAAAGAATATGGAATCTATATAGAATTACAACAAATAGATAAAATTTTAACAGGCCCAGAAGATAAATTCATAACAAAAATGTACAAATATTTATTAGAAGTAACATTGGAAGAAGTAGTTAAAGGTTGTACAATAATATGGGCCAAAAACTTTGGACACAATGTAGATCTAGTAGATTGGGAAAGAATTTGGAACACAAATTATAAATTAACAAGATCGGTAGCATACAAATAAAACATGTACAAAATGTTCTATTGTTGGTATTTACCACCAATGAGATTGGCCAAAATGTGCCAAAATGTATCTGAACATGAATTCGACCTGCTGGAAGTGCAAAAAAATGCAAGGGACTTTCTATCATATATGGTGGACCAGTCCGGAAACTCAAAAGTATTGGACTAAAATTTGGAAATGGATACAACAAATTACAGAGGAACAAATAGAATTCTGCTGGGAATAACCAAGGGGAAATATAGAAAGAAAATTAAATACATACTAATACACCTGTTCACTATAGCCAGAATAATGTTTGCCCAATGTTGGAAACAAAGTAATATTCCCCCAGATGAATTAGTGATTCAGAAAATTCTGATTACGCAGAAATGGACAAGTTAACATTAAGATTAAAGGACAAAGAAGAGTGAATATTATGAAATTTGGGATAATTGGTATAAATGGTTGCATAACAGGAATAAAGCTAATTCAGCCAAGAAACAATAAAGAAATTTATAGAACTGTAGATGAATGTAGAAGCGATATAAGATTGATATATACAGGTATGATGAAACAACAATGTTAATGTGATGATTGTAAGATGTTATAGAGGGAAAAAACAATAAAAAATTGATCAGCACAAATTTAAATTGGATTTAATAGCTGTTAGAACAGAGACAACAGTGAAACCTAAGCTGAGAGTGCCATCTACTGACCAAGGAAAATATACCAAACTCTATAACCCTTTGATTAGAAAAGTAAACAACATTTATTTTGGATTAGAAAAGTAAACAA